AGAGAAACAGACCGGAGGAAAGATAAGTAGGACATCAGAGAGCGATCATATAGGAAAAACGTCAGCTCCAGTGTGTTGGCAGGGCAAGCAGCAGCCCGGTCCTGAGCCATTCTGCTGAGGTCTGTGTTTGGGAGCCAAGCCCCAATCAATACCCTTGCAGCTCTGGCTGCCCGCCCCACGCGCCGCCACGGCCTCTGCAATACCTCCACCAACAGAACTCAGGGAAAGGGAGGGAGGTTTTTCTGGTGTGGCTGAGAAATATTTGGTCTTAATAAGTTTCCCTCACACAACCTCTGTCGTTTCATGTAATCAAAGCGTGTAAATCAGGCTGGTATGAATCGGGTCCCTGAAGGGGTCTCAGGATTGTTTCCCGGAGGTGGTAACACAAAAACAGCACAGTGATGTGATATTAAGGGATGTGAACATTGACGTCAGTGCATGGGAAAACTGTACAGAAGCTGGATTTTGAACACAAAAGGAATCTACTACGCCTTCTGCTGCTGTGTTGATTGTTCCTTTCCTGACTGGCACAAATAAAGTCATATATTTCCCATTTATTTTAATAAAAAGGGCCCAATTACAGTGATTACATACATCGGGGCTGTGAAGGTTTATTAACTATTTTAAACCCTAAGTGATTTAATTTATATTCATATTAGATGGTTCAAATAGCAAAAAACAATATCTGGCATGATTAAACTGAACCAAAACAGTAAAGCTAAGTCCGTAAAACCAAGGTGAAGAGCTGAAAGACGCTAAAATACTGAATAGAGAGTAATTCTCCACAAAATGATTTAATCCATTGTTGAGTTATTATTTCATTAACCATTCATTTATCACATTCAACACTAGAACTGCAACTGCATTTTTTCACATTAATTATATCTCAGTAGTGGTAACTTTATGTTAAAAACCTGTGCAAAATCCTAACAGAATTCATATTTGCTTTAAGGAAATCTATCAAAACATATGCTTCTTCACTAAATCTGTATTATAAGCAGTGGTTAAAACATTGACCAATATTTTAGCATCTTTTAGAGTCTTTAGTGTCCTGGAAGTGTTGTCGAGGGTCGACTCTCCCACAGGAAAACGCTGACATCATGACAGTGCACGTAATCTGATCTAATGCAACCAGGCAGACATGTTGTCATAGTTTCCCAGTTGAAATAGACCGTGGCAGGTAGAATATGGTACAAGATTCCAGCAGTGATGCAGAAAGGCAGACAAACAGCTTGCAGGGAGGGAAAACATGTGGAGAGGAATGGTCTTGGAAGATATCTTTTATAATTGGCAATTCAACAATCCTGTACATTTTTTTGTGTTGGTGTTCCTCCCACCCTACCAACTCTGTCACTCTCACTCTCTCTTACCGTCTTTATTCGCTTCTTTCAGCTCGGGGGATTTGGAGCTGTCACTCAGACAACGTGCTGCGTCCAACAAGAAAGCAGACAGAGCAAAAGTCTTTCGTTTATTGATGACAGATGCCAAGATGTTTTACTTTTTTCCTTTTGGAGGTGACAAATCGAAAGCGTAATGTACACAAGGCAGCAATGAATGATGTATTATTAGCTTCTGTGCAGTCTATCAACTGCATGCATACACTGTGGCGAGACTGACAGCTACAATATTCCTAAATAAATGTGTCTAATATAGCTGAAGAAATTGCTGGGATAGCGATTTTCAAAATGAATGGTTTCCTGCTGCATTTGGAGAGCTTTTATTCTCTAAAAGGAGAGGTACGTTTCTAAAGAGACTTTTAAAAAACTTCATTCACACTTCAGGTACGAAAGTGAAGGTTTGTTTTCCTAGCTGCCACTTCAGAGCTGCATTAGTAAGTCTCTCTCTCTCCAAATCAAAACACCAGTCATCCGTTACTCACCAGTCATACTCTTCAACGAACATTGGCTGTTCTTTCTCTTCCTTTTCGGGCCATTGAGCCACCTGGAAGATTGGAAAACAGAGAGAAAAAGGCAGAGACATAAATGAATGTAAATACACGATACATTTATGTATCAGCCACATATAAAAGAAAACATTTGCTCCAAAAGTTGCAGGGGATCTAGTTCCACCTGTTCCTGCTAACTCAAACTGCCAAGCAAAGAACAGGAGAGTAAATTGAATGGAGACATGTCATGTTTGTTCACATGTCCATCAACTTCTCCATCAGGCTGAGGAGAATGCTTATTTACACCACGCAGGTGCAAATACAAGGGTTTCTTTGATCCTTTTTTGGTTACAGGTGATAACAGGTAAAGATCAAATGATACACCAGATGTAATTGAGGTCTATGACCAAGTTAGAGAGTTAACAAAATAAAGGAAACAGTCAGTTTCAGTAGGGCTGTTTTAAATAGTTCCTTCATAATCATTCAAATTCTTAATCAACATTCTAATGCTAATTCTAATAATTATTTCATTAAATCTTTCTCTCGAATAAGATATTTCCTAAAAGGGGCTCCCGACCCGAATTGGTGAAAAAAACTATATTGTGGGAAACAGACTTTAACCCCCAAATCACTCCAGTTATTAGCATACACATGGGACGGCCGATAAAATGAGATGTAACACAAACTCTATTAAGCATCAAGCATACGCAAAGCAACATTCTCAAAGCATGTGCACTCAAACACAACTCCAACCACACTGACGCTATGTGAAAGGCATGTAAAGCACAGATGGGAACTGGCTGCTCTGAAGGGACTTATGAAAGCGCTGAGATGGAGGAGGGATAGAGTTAAGTAGAGGAGGGGGGGCATTTCAGAATAGAGAGTATGAGAGAGAGTCAGTGAGTGCTCCCCGCCAGTGCTTGATGTGTTGAGAATCCCAAGAGTCCGGCTCTCTGCTCTCAGACACTCCTGAAGCCCCCAGCTCTCCCCCCACAGCCCTTTAATCCCAGCTCCAGGAGAGGGAGCAGGACTCCATTCACACCATATAGAAAATGAAAGTCCACTCTGTTAAAATGCAATACTGGTTACATTAGCCCTGTAACGGAGCTGAGGTACAGTGTGTTATTCATTATCTGGAGGAAATGTCCCTTTAATGTTGCTCTTTCTGATTTTTCCCATTAGATATTTAAGCACTTTGTGATTTTGTGCTGTGTGTATATATAGCAATAAAACACCCCTATGGTACTGACGTGTTCAACTTCTGTGTTATTGTGACGTGAGCTTTAAGTGAAGTCGGCCTAAATCAGAAACCGACTGACCATATTTATTTCAAACAGCAACGTTGATTTTTACTGGCATTTACAGTGCTGCTAATTTTGGACCCTGTATTTAGCATACATTAAAGTAAAGTGATTTTTATATAAATAAATAATTAAAATAAGAGAACGCAAACAATTTCTAAAGGTTTGATTAATATGGTCCCAGCTGTAGTACCTCTTTTGCATGATGGGATAACTCACTTTCTGAAGATTAAGCATGAATACTGGCACCTCTGATTATATAAGAAATCATCACTTCACAATATTCATTTAAACTGGGATTCAGAGATGGAAAAACATGGATTTTAGTGCATGAAATTCTTTTTTTGTTTTCATGCTTAATGATAAGAGGTTTAATGCAAAGTGAACAATATGTTAATAATTAAAATAATACATTATGTTTAAAAGGTCATATTGACAACATTTGTTTTGCTTGTTAACGACCAACAGTTTCCTTCTTCTCCTATAACTCTACATGTTTTTATATCTCACACCACTTAGCAGTGTTTGCCCCTTTAAAACGAAGAAGCATAATTGCTTGTTAAATTCAGAAGTTGCTGTAATGGAGCTTAAATGCCAAATCCCACTGCCCTTCACATTTAACCTTAACCTCAACTATAGCACTGTTTTGTTCTCAGTTATGGTTCCTTTTGCCCTTTTCGGAATGCACCAGACAGCTTAACAAGGCATTCAATTATCTCTTAAAAAGCCTATTAGGTTAGAGAGTGATTCTTCCAAATAAGAATCCGGTTTATTTCTAAGAACATTTTTACATACAGGGTACATTGCTTTGATTAATTGGTGCATTACATACTCTTAGAAACAGGAACAACAAATTATTTTAAAAAAAGCAAGTATTGCAAAAATCTATAAACATAAATATAGAATAGTAGAATCATTTAAATAAATATGAGCAAAATATCTGAAATAAAAAATGGGAGAGAAGTAGTTTTGTGTGGTGGGGAAATGTGTAAAATTGTCTGAGAGTATCCTGATTGTTGTGCCTGTAGCATCTTATTCGCAAACTATCTAAAATACAGGATATACTGTTCCTTTCATGATGGGATGTAACAATGGAGGCTATCTGACATGGCAACTGTGTTTCAAACAACAGGATTCAGGTTGCTCATCTGTGAAGCAATGCTACTTGTGATACAACACCACCAATAGTTGCGAGGTGGTTATTTCACAATATAACCGGTTAAGAAATCCGAGAGCTTTTGAACATGGCCGACACTTCTCATTCATTTAGTGGGAAAAGGTCAATGTCAGTACAGGCTGAGGAGACATCATTAAAGCTGTCACAGCAGCAGAAAGACAAGGTGGGGCTTTCACTGACTGCCATTTGAAGGTAAATACCTTTCTCTCTGCCAACTCAATTCCACATCAATCCATACTGCAGCTGGAGGCGACAAGCTTCAAACTGACAGTTCTGTGGCAGAGCAGTCCTCCCATGTGGCAGTATGTTGTTAAAGATGGAAACATAGGCAAACTAGATAACAGCAGAAACACTTTATTAAGGTCTCTGTCACTCCAACAACAACCACAGCTTCTCTGCATCTGCCCTCCCTGGATGTCAACAACATGTCCCTTATAGATGTCACCACCTGACGCATGTTAAACTGTGTAGCTAATAAACCCAGATATTTGGCAGAGCAACGATATAATAATGAAATTAAGAATCATGGTTCTCTGAATAAGCCCTATGCTTTTGTTAAGATAAATCCCAAAATAGCACTAATGAAAATACTAGCACTACGGCAGCTATAAAAAGAGTTTAACACTCCTGGCAGAGCCCCAGAAGTGCTGTTCACTACTTTAAAAGCCCTGAGTGGAAAGAGTGTCAAGTGGCCCTAAGAAGCAAGTCGACAACAACATAAATACAAACACAGTAGATACAAATACACCTCAGTATGAAAAACGATTTACTACCTGTCTAACAGGATGGTTTGGAGCAAAACTCTGAACAAACAGACACACAGAAAGACATTTAGGTTTAGGAGCTTATGCTGGAAAGCATGCAGCTCAACAAGCTCTGAAATAGTATCACAGAGCCGGTGAACCTGCGGCCACTTAGTGAAAATACAACAACGCCTGTACATGGCTGAAAACATCATACATAATTGAATATTTTTTGATGGAATGTGAGTTTTTGCAGGTCGGGGCAAGAAGCCCTGTGCAATACAGGCGTACCACAGAGCGCTTTTCAATTTCCAGCTCTTACACTCTGACGGGACATGAATTGCGACACACTGGCAAGTATACAACGTCCCCACGCACACTGTGCCTCGCAGCAACCTGAGCCAACCCCACAGAGACGTGCACATACTGTACTTTCTCTGTGGCCCCTCCAGCACACACAAGTTGACATGTAAGAACAATGGTATGATTCCTATGGTCCCTAAGAGCAATGGTATGATTCCTATGGCCCCTATGCAGAATATGCACACACGTTGCACAACTAGGAGCACACACTGTCCAAGACAAATACAGAAGTCAACAAAAGATGTCACGAAAAAAGACTTACAGTGCTGACCTGATGCCGCAGTGGGACTGTAAAATATGCATGGCAGACGAGGACTGCTAGTTGAAGATTCAGATCTAGATGACTAGCTGCTACACAGCAATCATACATGGACTAACACTCTCTCTTTCTCTCTCTTACACTCTGATGTCTCTAGCATTTGTGCTAAATTTAGCCAGCCAACCCACTCAAATAAACTCTGCCTCTCCCTCCTCCTTCCTCTAATCTGTGGGACTGTCTTTCTCTGTTGCTAGTACCACCCATTCTACCCTGATTGGAGGACAGCCAGCCTCTCCACCTGTGACTTTGACAGTGACTGTGGAGTGCGTCCAACATGTAATTGCTGCGCTGTCGGGTAACTGAGCACTCTCCAGTAGGGATGGGTACCGAACCCCGGTATTAAACGGGCCCCGGGCCTGAATTATTAAAGACTGTGGTACCGTAAACGTTATCGGTCTTTTTATCGGTAC